GGGGGGGGAGTGAAATAGGCTAGGATGGGATGAGATTATATATGGTGAAAAGACATGAAACATAAAAAGGTGAAGTGAAATTTGGTGAAGCAAGTAAAACTTATCAGCTAAGTGCCTAAAGAAGAAATGATACACGTCTTAGTCCAAGAAAAGAAGAGAACAATTTTATTTTAAATTAATTTTGGTAAGTGTTTTACGGCGCTCACAACTGCATAAAGTCATATGAGCGCGCGGGACTCACCTAATATTTTTAGTTTGTAGGAAATTTTGAATTTTGCCCCGGTGGCGGCCGAAGCCTACTCTTATCGATTTTAGACCACCACGAGATTTTTCGCCCTTGTCCGAGAAGGCTAGGTGTAGATCTTTCCTACCAGAAGATCAGGGGCGTGGCCGAAAGACAGCAGTAAGGAGGAGCCAAGTAGTAGCAGTAGAAAGGCTGCAGAAAGAGTCAGGAGCCCAGAGGAGGGGGCAAAAGAGGTGAGGGGGTGGGGGCAGAAAGTGGAGACGAAAGCAGACAACAGAACATTGCTAGAGAGCAGGAAAGGAGGTGAAAGGAGACAATTTTAGAGAAGAAAATTTTTCGGTCGCTACCCGGATTCGAACCCGGGACCTTCGAATGAGAGGCCAACAAAATTTATGGTGATAGTAACATATCATATAAATTGATTGAAGATGCTAGATCTATTTTTATAATAATATAAATAACAATGAAAATATAAATAGTGGTTATGATATATAATAGAGTGATATTAACTCAATATAGTACCTTGATAAAGAAAGAAACAGAAAAGAATAGCACTGTAAGGTTACAAGCGAAGAAGCCAAAAGATGGTCCAGCCAATCAACCTATGTTAAGGCAGATAAGCCCAACATTCCAGGAATGGGAAATGCGCTGCTATCTGCGGCAAATTGTGGCATTTGAGATCATTACAAGCATGCTATTATTTCCTTTACTTTCTTCTCTTTAACAACCCAGCTGGTGGCTGGGAAGGTCTGTATCTTCTCTTCCTCCTGAGATATTAAAGGTCATCATCAGTTCATGGTGGACGAACCGTTATTATTGTTCTTCTTCTTCTTCTTCCTCTTTTTCTTCTTCTTCTTCTTCTTCTTCTTCTTGTTATTATTATTATTATTACTATTATTATTATTATTAAAATCATCAATAATAATAATAATAATAATAATAATAATAATAATAATAATAATAATAATAATAATAATAATAATTATTATCAGTCAACATTGTTGTTAGTATCATTTTATAATTATTATCATTATTACAATAATAATAATAACAACAACAATAATAATAATGATAATAATAATAATAATAATAATAATAATAATAATAATAATAATAATAATAATAATAATAATAATAATAATAATAATAATAATAATAATGAGCGTCAAAATGAAGAAAACGGAGACAAATTCTTCGATGAAGATGTTATGTGTTTTATGTTATGCTTACATATATCCTCGAAAACTTCATACTTTTTAAATCCTATTTTGGAAACCCTGTTCAAAGTCGGGAACTAGTGTGAGAAAAAACAATAATTTGTACTTTGTATACTTCAGCTTGAGGTGAATCAATACCTGTGGAGCACTGCTTGTTACTAATTTCTATTTCTACAAGAAAGCATGAAGTGCACAGATGTATGAGAAAATAAAAAAGAGGGGAGGGGGGGGGGGTACCTCGTGCCAGTTACAGTTCCCTTGAGGGCCTGACCTGACCATCAATAATTCATTTATAGAGGCACCAGCCATCCGAGTTCCCTTGAGGGAACAAAAAGCAAGAAACAAGAGTTATAATGGCCAACCTTTGAGAGATGTCTTTCATTTAAAAGAACGGGTGGAAATTTATTGCTTTTCATGACGGCAGTTCGAACAGAAGTACACGCTTGTTCCGCGCTTTACATATCGTTTGAAAAAGACCGGAATGAAGCTAAATAAATCAAAGTAACAACCGTTTTGGTCGTAGGCCCTAAACTGTTGTCATTAATATCTCAAACCACCCACTTACATTAGTGTCATACGCACTACTAATCCTTGCGTCCACATGGGTCCCATTGATGAGCCACCAGCGATATCCCGAATTCACAGAGACTTAAAAGAAAATATTTGTAAAACTAAAATATAATAGAAAAACATCATATTATCATAGCTCCAATTAGTAGGGTTTTCTTTTCTCTTTTTTTGGGGGGGGGGGGGGGAGGAGCTTTCTCCCTATCCACCTTCTCTCAGCCACCTATTCA